ATTGCATGTGAGTTAAAATCAGGTGATCAACGATTAGCGATGCAAGTGGTGCGTTATTTATGCAGGCCACTGTATATATATAATTCTTTATTTTATATAATTCTAATCCTGATCCTAATCCTAATCCTGGCTTTACACGTGACTAGTAACTATTACCAGTGATACCAAATACAGTAAAACCTCTCTAAGTGCACTCTCGGAATCATAGTAAAAAACAGGCAGTGTGTACACTTAGAGTGTGCATTTATAGAGAGTAAAATACATATGTGTCTTATAACTTGGAACCAAGCCATACCGTGCATTTAGAGAGAAATTATATAGTGCATGCATTTATCGTTATAGAGAGTGCACAGAGAGGTTTTCTCTATTTATTTTGTTATTAACGTTAACAAAATTAAGCAATATTTGATATTGGTTAGTTTTGAAATTTATATTTGTGAATTAACGTTAACTTTTACTGACAGTTCAAGATTTGTGAAATAAACAGTGATTTAGTATAATTTTAGCTTAATTGATTTTAAAGTTCATACAGGTAAATGTGTAAATGAATTTTGAAATCAATATCGATATAGATTTGATGATAATATATTAAAATTGTAAAGCACGCTATAATCTCAAAAAGATCAGTGATCGTCGTTCATCATCATTACATCAGTTTCTATGGGTATGGGACTGGATCGTGCACTCTTTTTTAGGGTCATTCTAATAATTAAAGTGGGTAAATTGGGTAAAATCTTGATTTTAAAAAATCTTTTACCTTTTTTATTGTACAACATGAACTTATCGATAAGTTAATAACGATACTCAATCAACCGAAACCTTTGCTGCATGATGAATCAAACGCAAATCGATAAATAAGCATATATAAATATAAATTCTTGTACTTCTCTATTTCTTCTTCCTTATTGTATGACTTTTAATACCAGTTAATTAAACCAACACCAACAATAAAAAATGGTTTCCAGCACACAAACAAATGGCGTATCTGGCAGCGGCACACGTCGACGAAGCTCAAATATATTCTCCCAGTTCGAACACAAGCGAATAATCAGCGTGACGCACATGATACCGTATATTGCATGTATACAAACAAAAGAATCTCAAGAGGATGCAATAATTTGGAACTTGAAACCACGACGCGGTCATTCGGCGCTCTACTCTGGTATACGATCGTTAAGCGCGGAATGCGACAACTTCTTAATTGGGTTCGCCGGGGAAATATATTACGATCAAGAAGAAGCTGGAAAAGCTCTCGATCAAACGCAGTTCAGTGATAAGTATAAGAAAAGTTTGAAGACGTTGTTGGCTAAGGATAAAGTTATTCCTGTGTTTTTGGACGACGAGGAACATCATGGGCATTATGAAGGGTATTGCAAGTCCGGTATATTTCGTATTCTTTTTTATTACTGTCAAAAATTGTATTGTTTAGTGAAATCTAAATTTATAATGCGAAAAATATTCTTTAATATAAAATATTCATTTTAGTTCTATGGCCAATGTTTCATTACATGTTATGGGATGAGGTTACCGATGGCCGAGAAGAGGGCAAAAATTGGGATCAGTATGTACAAGTGAATGCTCGATTCGTCGACAAAATTGTTGAGATTTATCAACCAGGAGATATAGGTACGAAATATAACCTATAATCATTTTTATTCTAATTATTCTAATTTTTAGAATAGTCAAATCTACTTATAATAAATTTTTTTGATAACTAACTAATTACTCGATTATAACATCATTGTCATGTTAGTATGGATCCACGACTACCATTTACTACTAATTCCCGATATGCTGCGCCAACGAATTCCTGATGCGCCAATTGGTCTGTTTATTCATGCGCCATTTCCTAGTTCCGAAATCTTTAGGTGTTTGCCAAGTGAGTTGTCTCGTCGTGTTGATTTAGCTCTTTTAAATTATTGTGATTAATCTTTTCATAATTTATTTATAAAAAGAGCGAAAAGAAATTTTGCATGGCATGTTGGGTGCGAATCAAATAGGGTTTCAGGTTAAAAATCTTATTTATTATTGTTGCTGTGATTGTTATAAAATACGATCTATCTTTTCAAACTCGAATTCAATTCAATAAAAATTATTCACTATTGACTAAAAACCAAAATTACACATAACAATCAATAGACATACTCATATGCTAGTCACTTCATTAGCAGCTGTACACGCGTCCTAGGCTATGAATCAACGCCTAAAGGAGTCGATACTCCTAATCTTGTGGTCGCGGTCGGCACATTCCCGATTGGAATTGATGCTGAAAAAACCGAACAACAACGGTATGGTTTTATTGTTCATTTTTAACTTCCGTAGATTCCATTTATTTCTCATTAATTAATTGGTCTTCATTATTTTTTGGAAAACAGAAAAGATCCAGGGGTAGCAATAAAAATGGCTTCCATCAAAGAAATGTACGCCGGCAAAAAAATCATTGTCGGACGTGACAAACTGGACTTGGTAAAAGGCGTCATGCAGAAACTGCAAGCTTTTGAGAAGTTTTTATGTGATTATCCACAATGGAGAAATAAGGTATTTATATATTTTCTCTGATTTTTTTTTAGCTTACTCTAAAATTTATATTCCAAAAAATCAAAAACTATTATACGCAACACTACTTCTACCTATTATTATAACACTAGGTAGTCTTAATCCAAGTGACCTCGCCAGCACTCACCGAATCCCCAAAACTCGAACGCAAAGTCTCTGAACTAGTCGCACACATAAACGGCACCTACGGCTCGCTAGAATTCAATCCGGTACACCACTACCACAACCACAACGTCGATCAAGACGAGTATTTCGCGTTGTTGAGCGTGGCAGATATTGGGCTGATTACGTCGGTGCGTGACGGGATGAACACTACGTCATTGGAGTATATTATGTGTCAGCAAGAGAATCATGGACCGTTGATTTTAAGCGAGTTCACTGGGATGGCGGGATCGCTTAGTTCAGCGATCATGGTCAATCCGTGGGATTACGCGGGTGTTGCGAGAGCGATAAATGAGGCGTTGGAGATGCCGAAAGAGGAGAAATTGGTCAAACATTCGGTGAGATTTCGATTATTTGTTGTATTTATCTCTTTTTGATATATTAAATAATTTCGATTTTTTATTGTTTAAATTTATATATAGCAACTCTATAATCACGTAACAGTACACACAGCCCAATATTGGGCAAAATCCTTCATCAAAGAACTCCGCACAAATCTCGTAAACCAAGTCCAATCATACACGACTCCTTATTTAAAGCTAGATCTCCTATTAAGTCAATACAAGGAGGCGAAACAGCGACTAATAATGCTTGATTATGATGTAAGTCGCAACTAAATTAAAATGAAGCAAATAATGTTTTGTTGCAAGCTCGTCTTATAACTATCATCAAATGATCGGTTGGATATTAATATGTGTTTATTGACCACATACGACGTACAGGGTACACTCACTCCAATAGTAAGAACACCAAGCGCAGCAGTCCCCCCGCCTCATATGCTCGAAGCGCTAAAGTCGCTTGCTTCAGATCCTTGTAATAGTGTGTGGGTAATTTCTGGTCGTGATCAGGAAGCTTTAGATCAATGGCTTGGTAATATACCCAGACTTGGATTAAGGTACTTTTACTATCTGAATTTCTCAATGGTCTGATTTAAATAACTACGTGCAAATAAATGTATAACCTCATTGATCTTATAATTCTACTACTGTCCAGCGCAGAGCATGGTAGCTTCATAAAATACCCCGACAACGGCAAGTGGATAAATCTCACCGAGAATATCGACATGAGCTGGAAGAACGACGTGACTGAAGTCTTTACATATTACACTGAGCGGACGCAGGGCTCGTTTATCGAGCATAAACAGTGTTCGATAACATGGCATTATCGGATGGCTGATCCTGTTTATGGGTATTTGTTTGGGTTTTTTAGTTTTCAATTTTATTAATATTATTTGGTATTTATTATGTGTGTTTATGCTTATTTATGATACCATTAATTTAGAGCTTTTCAAGCAAAAGAAATGCAAAATCATCTTGAAAGTGCTTTATTACCGAAGCTTCCTGTTGAGATTCTGTTAGGCAAAAAGAACTTGGAAGTACGACCGACTCTTGTGAATAAGGTCTGTTGTAGTAGTAATAATTAGTACTTACTATCATTTCACACGCGTTTTAATCTCTCGAATTTTTAACCCTCCCGGGGGTCTCAAAATCTATATAATACTCTCAATTAATTTTATACTAATTTCAAATTAATCTCATCATCATCAAACTCAATCCCTAACACCAGGGTGAAATCGTCAAACGGTTACTAGTCACCATGCCTAATGTAGACTTTATAATATGTGCGGGCGACGACAAAACCGATGAAGACATGTTCCGTGTGTTACGTAACTCCGAAATTGACGACGACGCTCATTTCTGTATTACGATTGGGTCGGCGAATAAGAAAACGTCGGCGCAGTGGCATGTTGGGTCGCCGGAGGAGGTTACGCAGGTGCTTGAGAAGTTGACTGTTTAGGGGATTAAGGCTTGGTTAGTGGAAAACGAGAGATTTATTACAAATTAACAAATAGATAATGAAGTTTTAATACTCTTGATAAGTTTATATAATTAATAATTTTTAATCACTAGTAATGATTCCTTTTTTATATTCGATTTCAAACTAAAATTACCATTACAAAAAACAATTAAATTAATTAATTCAACTTTGATAGTATATATATACATAAGATAATAACACTAGAAATCTGGAGCTCTTTGATTTTCACGAGCCCGCCAATTTGATGAATCAAAGATTGTATCAGAATATGATCAACAAATGAAACTTCTTGTTTCTTTTTCATATCAATAAAATAAGTATTATTTATGGTGCAATTATTATTGTACAATATTACTCGAAAAAACCACCATATCAAGTTCGATAGTCGGCATTAATAGTCACATACTCGTGACTAAAATCACAGGTCCACATTTTGGCCGATTGATCCCCAACGCCGAGATCAACACTAATTTCCAAGTCTTCCATCGCCAGAATTTCGCTGGCACGTTTTTCGTCAACAAGTTCTGGTTCGCCGTTGACGAGAAGATTCAGAGGTGATGTGCCGTCAGTTGGGATGAATGACACGGAGACATTTGATGGGATGATTGATTTTACACCTGAATAGCCGACTGCACAGAGTATGCGACCCCAGTTGGCATCTTGGCCGAATAAAGCAGTTTTTACGAGTGAAGATGTGGCGATTGTTGATGCTATTTGTTTGGCATCGGTGAAGGTTTGTGCACCCTTTTTTTATTTATTTAGACGTCGTTTAGTATCTTTCTAGCACAAGTACTAATAATAGCATTGAATAGACATATATACCTTGACATTTATGGTCACAAATTTTGTCGCGCCTTCACCATCTCGTACGACTAACTGAGCCAATTCAGTCGCAAAATCAGCAAGGTCATCTCGAAACTGTACAAAATCTTTACTATCCAACTGATCTATAATGGCCCCATCTTTCTTACTCAAATCTGCAGCTGCTCCGTTAGCCAACACAGCAAAAGTATCATTCGTGCTCATATCACCATCAATACTAATCGCATTAAACGATCTGTCCACAGCATATTTCAACGCGCTACTCAGCACATTTTCTGTAACAGGTGCATCTGTCAATACGGTAGCTAACAACGTTGCCATATTTGGATGTATCATCCCAGCGCCTTTCGACATCCCAGCCATACGATACGTCAACCCATTAGAAGGTATTGTGAACTCTCGTGAGCGTATTTTTGGAAACGTGTCAGTGGTCATTATTCCTTCTGCGGCTGCCAGCCAACTATCATGCGATTCACCCAACCCACGATGAAACGCGATTCGCGCACCATTGATAATTTTTTCGACGGGAATATGTTGGCCAATGACGCCAGTTGACATGGAAAGTACGCTATCTGGTGTCCCAGTCAATAACGACACAGAATCCGAGACTTGTCGTGCGTTTTTTAAACCTTCTGTGCCTGTTACCGCGTTCGCGCACCCAGAGTTTACTATTAACGCTCTAATGTTAGTGGGGTTCTTTTCTAGTATTTCACGAGATACTAGAACCGGGGCTGCTTTAAATACGTTGGTTGTGAATACTGCGGCGGCTGTACACGGTACTTCAGAAACTATTAGCGCGAGGTCTTTCTTTCCGTTCTTTTTTACGCCACAGTGGAGACCGGTTGCTTTGAACCCTTTTGGGTATGTGCCCGTTTTAGGTACAAGGTATTCTTTACCTGTTGACCCATCACTTGAACTAGCAGTAGTACTGTTATACACGCGAGAACTGTGTAAAGAGGCGTGTGGTATTATTGTGGGTGTCGTCTTTTGTATTATCGTTGATGGTGCTTTCTGATTCGCCAGGTTTGATATTATTGGTCTTATTATACTTCTTGTGGGAATTTGTACTAGATAAAGCATTATTAGAGAAAAAAAAACTTGTCGCTATATAACAAATAAATGCCTTGGTCGAAAATGCAAAAAAACCCCGAACTTAAATATTTTTTAATCTCCGTGATAATACACAAACATCTAATCGATGCAAGTCCATCATTGTATTAATTGATTTAAGATTTGATTATGTATACATTGCTGGATAATCATTTATTTTTATTGTATATATCAACCGATTCTCGCCGAGTATTGTGATATGCTGAGGACGAGACCACAAACTGTCGATAATTAAAATAAATCAAGAACACGAAAAACATAAAAGAACTAAATATCACATTCAATACTACGTAGAGATCAGGGTATTTCTTTGGTGGGGAAATGTTGAACTCTGCTGTATGGAGAATGGCCATGGTTAGGTGTGATACCTATGATAAAGTTATATTGTACAGTATATAGATGTGAGTCATTAATTATATTTATTTGAGCGCGGAAGGAATAAAACGTACCCAAAAGAATAATCGAAAAAATAAAGGTTGATTAGTATTATTATTATTATTATTATCATCATCATTATCACTGTCATCAATATTGGAATGACTCAAAAATCCGCCGACCCAGTTCCATAAAAACCACACAACGAAATATGGTAACACTAGATCTTCCTTGTTCAAAAGTGGGAATAGGCTATTGTTTTTTCAAGGTCATTGTTTTTAAAATACGAAGAGAGTTCATTTTTTAGATTCAAAAGAATTACAATTAGCATTACGATCAAAAAGAAACAAAAACTTTACCTAAACACCGCAACATTGATAAACCATGGGCTCCATAGACTCTCATCTAGTATTAGTAAAGTAATCGGAAGAGCAGGCAATAATATAGACTTTTCATGGACCTGAAAAGAAAACATAAAGAACGCTAGCGATGAATTTGCAATTCCATAAACTAGTGAACGTTTATCGGGTTTTAGGCCAAGTCTTATGCAGGATGGGATAATTGATAATAGAGTAGTGGTCAAACTATTTAAAAACAAGAATTACATTAATAATAATTAAAATCGATTATATGTGATAAAAGTAATAATAGGTAAAATACCTAATTTTCATCAACGTCTGAATCTCAAACATTTCTCTCAATTTAACAGCGACATTCATCGCGCACCACACGTTCGCCACTTTATCCTCATATAGTCCACGTTGTAAGGGAAACACACGCGTGATCACTTGACTGATATGATCAATTGAATCTAGGAACGGCATAAATATTACGCCGAAAGTTACAAGAACTGTTAATCCAAGTTTTATAAAAAGCAGAAATCTATATTTAGAGAAAAAAATAATGTTTCTGGTTGTAAAAAAAATATCGAAGGCTCATACTTATAATAGGTATCATTTTTTTTCTCAATACGCTCGCATACACGCGCACAAAAGAAACTTACCCGTGTTCTACTTTGAAGCATTTTCCTAATAAATAAGCAAAAATAGTGGGTGCATAATATAATGACATTTGCTTGAACGTCAGAGCGAGGCAAAAAAAAATGCTGCCTAACACGTCGTAATCGCACAAGAAACAATCGATTGCCAAAATTGAGAGTCCGAGCATAACAGAATTGTATCTATAATTTTTTTCCAAATGAATTATTATTTAAGATCACAATCAAAATAGAAAAATAAAAATACTTGCTGAAAATGACCATGATCGATCAAGATCAATACGGGTTGAAGAAGAATTAGGAGCGTAACTAGATTCTATATATATGTATTTGACAAATTAAATAAATCAAAAGTACATCTCTATACAACAGACACAAAAAACTCACCTTCTTTTTTTTTGACGCGTCATTGAACCACCAATTCACAAACACAAAAATTCCAGGCACATAAATCACGTATTCAAAAAAAATCACGGTAGACCGCATAAATACTTTACTCTCTAAACTTTCATAGCCTCGTGAGGCATCCAGTGCAAACCAATCAGGATTAAATAATGAACCACTAAATTATTTAATTAGTCAATTTTCAAAAAAAAAATCATTTTTATTTTTATGAAAGTCGCGAAAATTCAATTCAAGAGACTACGGTTCGAATACATACATTTTACCACAGATCCAGCTCACGTAGGCTGTTAACGGCGGATAATCTAATCCCCACCAATCGAGATCATAGTAATACCATTGTTTTATAGGGATGTGGAGCGTGAGTTCCATCCAATGACGTTGTGCTTCGTAGTCTCCGTACATTGGAGGTACATCGAAACCTTTATTTTGATTGCAATTTGGATTTATTAATTTTGGATTTAAGAAAATCTAACAGTTATAACTTAATCAATCTAATGAGAATTCAGATGTTTCTAAGAATGTTCACAACACACACACCAGAATACTTATTAAGTCCAACTGCCCATCGCACATAAAAGCAAAAAAGCAAGGTTAACAAGCTAACATATTTCTGTAACTGGAACTGGCCTAACCAGTCAAGCCATTGTACTGCTGGAGATTCTTCGGGCTCTTGTTTGCTTGTTTGTCCTAGTCTTTTTCGTCGTCGCTGGGTTGACATTATTTATATATTTGCAACAATATATCGATATCCGTCTCATTTCTTATTTGGTAGTTACACGTGATATAATCCGATCCGGATTGCAATCATGTGACCAAAATTGAATAGCCAATAAAAATACAGAGAACTCTCTCTAATTGCATTCCTATGAAAAAAAGAGTGCATTTATAAAGAATAAATAATTAAATCATATACTTGAAACTAAACCAGTGTATATTTAGAAAAAATATATTTATAAAGAGTATATTTAAAAAGAATTCTTTGTATAATTGTATAACAAATTTTGATTAAATAATTTATTAAATCATTCATATTGTTGTGATATGAATTTTAGCATATCACATGACTTTTCATAGTTAATTTTCATTGAATAATTGATTTGTAAATCATATTTTATATCATCCGTATTTATTTTATACTATTTTTATAACATTTCATTCTATTTTTATTTTATTTCATACTATTATCATTTTATTTCATATTATTTCATTCTATTTTCATACTATTTTATTCTATATTTATATTATTTCATTCTATTTTTATATTATCTCATTTTATATTATTTATAATTCATACTAATCATATTTAATTCATATTATTATTATTAGTATGAAAACACATGTTAATTGATTTATATAATCAAATTTGATTGATATTAATAGTGAAATTTATGTAACATTAGAGTGAGTGATGTATAACTATCAAGCAAGCAAGTGATATGCAACTATCAAGTAAGCACTTTTTGTAATCTTAATATCAATTAAAAATAACTTTAATATTTAAAGATTGAGTAATAATAATTTATATAAATATAACATGTATCTTAACTTAAAAAATTATCTTCTTGATTAGAATCTTCTCATAGATTTAAATTTTTACTTTTGAATCTTTTTAGATTTAATTTTTTTATCTTTTAATTTTCTTTGACAAAATCTTCTTAGAAGTGAGTCATATTATAAGTCTTGAGTTAGAGATTTTTAGTCAAGCATTAATTACTCTTTTCTTTCTTATTTGTATTCTTTATTATTTAAAAAACCTCTTGTTTATAACAAGCGACATTATCTACAATAACATAATTAATCTCTCATTATTACTCTGCAAAGTTGATTAATATTATTTAGATTTATAATAAAAAAAGAAAATAATTTTAATAAAAGTTAATCAATAAAAGAAGATTATTTAACAATTAAACTATTTGAATTAAAAGAAGATTTCTAAACTCATTCTAGCAGTTTAACAAAATGAACACGTCATTACCTATCTTTATTAAATTAGTCTCTCCCAACTTTAATTACTTTAAATATACAAAAATCTTTAATAATTCTTTCACTTAATTGAGACACATGGAGAACATGTAATTTATATCTCAAAAATAATAAATCAACAGAAATGGTAACAAATTTTTGGTGCTCCCTCTGTGAAAAAGAAATCTTCAACAGCATTAAACTGTAGAAAAGAAATTTTCAAAGATATCAAATATAATCAATCAGTAAACAAATTCTTTGTGGATGAATCACTTAAACCAATAAATCAAATTGAATCCAACACAACTAACCAGTATTAAAATAAATTAACTAAGAGATAAAGTTAATTTAAAGAAGTTTTAATCAGAGAAAAACTCAAAGAAATAAAACAACAAATAATTGAAATAGTTAGTGAAACTTACCAAGAAAATACAATCACTAAACCAATTAATCAACTTAGCAAATTATTAAAACAACATTCTTATCAAAATGAACAAGAAATATAAGTATATGTATATTATTTACAACAAGATATCACAAACTTTTTAATATAAAGAAAAGCTTACTGAAAATAACAAAAACTTCAAGAATAACTAGCTGAACTCCAGAATTCAGAAAATCAAATTGTAATTCAAAGTAACTTATCAATACAAATTATTGAAGAAGATCAAGTTAAAGAAGAAGAATTTCAACAACAAATTCCAATTCAAACTCCAAATTCAGAAAATAATTTATTATCAATAATGAATAATCATTAATTCAACATCTTAATGAAATAAAACAATAATTAAAACTTATTTAATAACTGCTCAACCAGAATTTCATGTATCTATTGTGAAAGAAATAATTATTTATCAATCGATTGTTATATCAGAAATGAAAGAAATCACAATTATAATAATAATAATTATTATTATTATTACAATAATAACAATAAATCATTTACTTGTTATAAATGTAAAAAAATAAAACATACTATAAATAAATGTCTTATTAGAAATAATAATTAGCATAATAATAATAATAATAATAATATTAATAACAATAACTATAATAACAACAATAATAATTACAATAATAATTATCAATTCAATAACCAAAAACAAAATAACTTTTTAAATACTGAAGAGCATTTAAATAACTAAATACACTTCTAGAAGATGAAGCTGCATCAATAATTAAAAAATCTTTAATCAACAAAAAGAAACTAAAACAAATAATACTCATAAAGAAAATACCAATAGATACTATGCATTGTCTTGGAAAAGTTAAAAATCAAAAAGTTATAATTATCATCAACAATGGAGTAGTGAGCAATATTATCAATAGCTCACTATTAAAGAAGATCAATTGGAAAATACAAAGATCTAGCAATATCAATTTAGTTGATATTAATAGAATAAAAGAAAAATCACTTGGAGAAGTTCTAAACTTATCAATTACACTTGGAGAAAAGAACTTAAAAATTAATGTCTAGTTATTGAAAAAGGTGACTATGATTTGTTACTTGAAAATGATTGGGCACATAAAAATCAAACAGTAATAAATTGAAAAACAAGAACTTTAATATTTGAGTTCAATAATAAAAAAGTTCAAGTTCCAATATCTTGTCTAAATAAAAGAGAAAATCAATTGAAAATAATAGTTTTATTACAATAAAAGATGGAATTTAAATCAAAGTATTTACCAATAATGAAAAAGAAAAAATACCTGAAAGAATACATGTAACTAATGCTGGATTTAATAAGAGATATCCAGACAAAGAAATATTAAATATATTACCAAATGACACTATATTTATTAATATTCATATTGCAATAGAAATACCAGTTAAAAGTTATTGTCAATTAAAATCCAGATCATCTTTGGTAAAGAAAGGAATTGAAGTCAAAGCTGATACAATTGACACTAAATACACTGAAGATATTGGAATTTTATTATATAATAATTCTAATATTACACAACAAATTCAACCAAATGAAAAAATAGCTCAAGCAATATTCTTACATTTAATCAATATTTTCAACTTGAAAAAAGTAAACACTAGAGATGGCGCAGCAAGTATGTGATGCTTATTTGTCACCCGTTGCAACACGTTGCAACTCTAAAATTTTATAAGCTGCAACTAGTTGCAACTAGATGATGCTTTATTTGTCACCACGT